CGATAATGCATTTAAAACACCAAACACGATAAATGCCCATTAGCATTTATCCTTATTACCATATGCACTTTCCCCAAAATTTCCACAGGTTTGTCCCTTACAACTTGTGCCTACCCTCAGAAAAATCACAAAATATCTACATCTAGTATTTCTTTGCTTGCTGTATCTGTGTGCACTTTTCTTACATTAGGTTTTTAAAAGTGGGGGCTTTGGGAGGCTTTAAGATTAGGGACCTGATGATTGTCAGAGCTTCCTGATAAGGTTGTGTGGCCCTGAATAGCAGTAGTTCGTGGGCATCTCAGCAGTGTTAGGACTAAGGGAGGAGGTGAAATCTGTGTGTGCTTATTTTTGCTGTCTTGTTAGCAGGGGAGACGTAGAGTCCAGGCATCAATTAATAGTGTTCAGATAAGCACTGGTTCTCAACTGGGGGCAGTTTTGACCCCAGGGGATCACAGGCAATGTCCAGAGACAGTTCTGATTGTCAGGCCTGCAGGGATGCTACTGCATGTAGTAAAGGCCAGGGATTCTGCTAAATATCTTGAAATGTATAGGATGGCCCCCACAACAAAGAATTATCGAGGCCAAAATGTCAACAGTGTCAGCATTGAGAAACCCCAGGCTAATGCCAGCACTATGGCTGAAAGTAGGCAGTGGCCTTCCCCTATGTGCTGGAAAAGGGCAGGAGTATTCTTACCCATAGCATCCAAGTTTCCCTGCTCTACCTCTGGCCAGTTGAGCCACTTAATCCCTTCTCCTGTGGATCCAGAGACAGAGCAGCTTTGAAGTACAAATTTCTCATCACTATCATTTAATCTGAAGGTACACCTAATCTTGAACTGTGTGTGGTAGTAAATATTAGAGAAAGATAATTAGGGTCTCTGTCCTTAGGAAACTCACTGTCTGACAGGTTGTATGTTAACAAGAATCATTCTCTGTAATTCATGGCTTAAGCAAATACAGAAACACACTCACACAAGTATGCTATAGGCTTACATGGATAAACAGGCTGTAATGTTAGAATGGGATGAAGAACAGGGCTCTCCAGAGGAACAGACCAGTGGGATATGGAAGAGACAATAGCATATGCAAACAGACCAATAGGAGGGTGGGGGAGGAGCCTGGGAAAGAGAGAGATTTATTAGGAGGAATTGGCTCATGTGATTATGGAGGCTGAGAAGGCCCAGTGTTCGCCATCTGCAAGTGGAGATTCAACGGTTAGTGGTGTATTTCTAGTATGAGTCTGAAGGCCTAAGAATTAGGAGCATCGATGCTGTAAATTCCTGTCTGAGTATAGGAGAAGACCAATTTCCCAGCTAGAATATATAAGGTAGTGTAAGTGAGTTCTCCTTTACTCCTTCTTTTGTGTCATTCAGGCCTCCAGCAGATTGGAGGAGGCCCACCCACATTGGAAGGGCAATCTGTTTTACTCAGTCTACTGATTTAGGTGTTAATTTTTCCAGAAACATCCTAGAAGATGTTACTGTTACTAATTAGCATTTTTTTGTTTCAGCTTGAAGAACTTTCTTTAACATTTCTTGTAAGACTGATCTATGTGATGACCTCCTTTAGCTTTTGTTTGTCTAGAAAACTCTTTTATCTCTCCATCACTTCTGAAGCACAGTTTTGCTGGGTAGGGTATTCTTGGTTGATTAGCAGGGTTTTGTTTGTTTGTTTAGTGCTTGCATATATCATCCCACACCCTTCTGGCTTGTTAAGTTGCTGCTGAAAAACAGGCTGATAATCTTATGGGGATTCTGTTGTATATAACAAGTGGTTTTTCTCTTGCTGTTTTTAAGATTTTTCTACTTGTATTTAACTTTTGATAATTTAATGATAACGTGTCTTATGTGGTTCTCTTTGGATTTATCTTTTTTGGAACTCTCCAGGCTTGCTGTATCTGGGTGTCTGTTACCTTCCCTAATTTAGGGAAGTTTTCAGCCATTATTTCTTCAAGTAAGTTTTCTGTTCCTTTCTCTCTTCTTCTGGGACCCCTACAATGAGAATATTAGTCCTCTTGATGTTTTCCCATAAATCCCTTAAACTATCTTCACTCGTATTTTATTCTTTTTTCTTTCACTCCTCTGGAGGAATTCCACTTCCATCTTAGAGTTCACTGATTCTTTCTCCCACTTGATCTAGTCTGTTACTGAACCCCTCTTTTTCAGTTCAATTATTGTCCTCTTAAATTATCTTAAAAAATCATGGAATCAGATCCATGATTTCTGTTTGGTACTTTTTAATATTTCTATCTCTGTTGAAATTCTCATTGTTCTTCTGACCTCAGTTAAGCATCTTTATGCCCATTATTTTGAACTCTTTATCAGGTAGATTATTACCTTCCTTTTTTTAAGATCAGTTCCTAGAGATCTATCTTGTTCTTCTGTTTGGAACATATTTTTTCTGGGTTGTTTTATTTGTTTGTTTGTTTTCCACTTTCCTTGACTCTTCGTGTTGGTTTCTGAACATTAGTTAAATAGCCACCCCTTTCAGTCTTGTCAGAATGATCTCATATAGGAGAAGAACCTCGTTGACCAGCCTGACTGAGTTCTTAGCTGTCTCTCAACTCTGTCATTGGTGATTGTCCAAGTGTCCTTCTTTGTTCTTGGTGGCTTTTAGTAGTTATGAATGTCCCAAGACCTGTCAGTGAGGATTGCAGTCAGCATCTAGATACAGGCTGATGAGAAGCTGCATCCTCAGGTACAAGCTGGGAAAATATGTAGTTAAGCTTTCAGGGAGAAACTTTTTTTGCCAGTTCCCTCAGTCCTGGGCCCAGGTGGGTAGCTACCAGGGGTGGGGGTGCTCTTGTGCCCATTAATAACTGTTTCTTTGCTTGCTGCAGTCTCGCTAGTGCCTCATTAATGCAAGGCCCACTGACTGCTAGCACCAGGTGATCCAGGGACCCATCGCTCAAGTGATAGCTACAAGAGCTGGGGTGCCAGATATGTGTATAACCTCCTTTCAGGGAGATACTGGTGACTTGATTTTATTATTGGAGCAGGCTGGTGGGAGAAGTGTCTGCCAGCTTCCCCAGTCCATAAGGAGGATTACAGATAGCCCCCAGATATCTGCTAAATTAGAAGCCGGGCCCTCAGGCGGTAGGTTTAATGTATGCAGATAAACCCCTTTCAAAAAGACTGGGAGATGGGTTTTCTTAGCCTGCTGCCTCTGCACCGAACCTTGGGGAAGTAGATGGTTAAGAACTGCTTCTTCGTTTGCTGCAGTCCTCTGGGACTCATGAGTGAAGCCCTGTTGGCTATCAGAGCCCGGCAATCTGGGGACCCATCCCCTGAGGAGCAGCCCTGAAAGCTGGGGTGTGGTCATGTGCACTACTCCTTCCAGAGAGCTACTGACAACTTGGAGTGGGCTACAGAGAGAAGATGGGAAAGGTGTCAGTGGGCTTCCTCCATCTCTGGGGAGAATCACAATCAGCCCCTTGAAGCCTGCTAAATTAGAAGCCTAGCCCTTAAGCAGCAGCTTTTAAAGTATGCAGATAAACCACTTTCAGGGAAAGATGGGGAGAAGGTACACTGAATCCTAGGGCAATTGCTGCAGTGTTTGCTCCTGCACCCATGAAGATTTGCTTCTTTGTTTGCTATCGTCTAGTGGACATAAGCCCCACTGGCTTTCAGAGCTAGGTGTTTTGGGAGCCCTTCCCTCTGGTGCAAGCCTTAAAAGTTGAGATTCTAGATGTGGAGACCATACCCTTTGCTCCTGGGTGAGAAGCTGGGAGTTGGAGGTTCCCTCCTGGTTGTGTGGCACTATGCTGGATGGGTCGGTTCATGGTGAGAACGCATCTCAGCCATTTCTAGCCATTTTGATGTGGGATGTCCCTTGCCCCCCTGCTTCCTGTTTTCTCTGCCTCCCTCCTCTCGGCACAGGTGTCAGATACTGTACTCTGCTCTAATTTGGTAATGGCCTCAGGGCCAGTGAGAAGTGTAGAGATTTATGGTGTAAAGGATTGGGTTTTGAGTTCTTAGGTCTGTTTTTCATAGGTTTTTCCATGTTCTTGCTGTCTGGGTATCAGCTGTTGATTCTCATCCTTTTAAATTCTACTCTTTCTGACTTGCTGAAGACGGGAAAGCCAGAAAGCCCATCTTAGAATGATATTTAAAATAAGAGTAAGTAGACTGTGAGTAAGAGCTTGCTAAGAGAGTGGATTATGTGATCTCTCTAGTGCATGGATGTTTTAATGTCTGTGTTACCTCTTTTAGCTGACTTTTTGGGTCATCCTCCAGGCTGGATATCTCACATGGGGGATGGCTGACTGGGCTTTACGTGCGCAAGGTCGGAGGCCCACAAGAATTAGTCTGTAAGGATTTTCAGCCTGTCTTCTTTTGGCTATTGGCCATAGACTTTTAAGCTCTCCCACCCTGATACCTAGGAGAATTTTGTTCTTGTCAGACCAGATTTTAAAAATGTTTGTCGTCAGATGTTCATTGTTTCTGGGCAGGAGGAAGGAAGGGCAGATAGCATCAAACTTGGGAAGGCAACAGTGCCCTGAAGCAAATAGCCAGAGCGGAGGCTAAAACACCCTCCTCAGAGGACAGGACAGGGTGGGGAATAGCACACTCCCAGCGGGAGGACAGAGGGGCGCAAAGTGCTGGAAAGAATCAGGCATGGCAAGACCGGGGCGGGAGGGGGGTGTGTGGGTGGTGGGAGTTGTGGGAAGAAGGAAGATAGTGGGGAAGAGAGAACTTCTTAGGTGCCAGGTGGTAGAGAAGAGGCAAGGACAGAGGTTTGGACCTGGATTTCTCTAGACTCTGTCCTCTTTCATGGTTTTTTTGTTTTGTTTTGTTTTGTTTTGAGAGTCACTGACTCCCTGATACCATTCCAGGCTCCTTAGTTGTGAGCATTACAGGTGACAGCTGTATCTGCCAGGATCATCAGTGGCCATACTCTGCTGAAGTGGCTCTCTGAGTAATAGCCCTGAAATGCTTTCCCAATTTTGTCGTCTGCCGTCCATGTGCTCACTAAGCTTCTGTGTCTCCTTCCTTCCCCAGGTCGGTGGCTGGATTGGATAAGGAAGCAGACCTGGTGCACATGGAGGTGCGGACCGCCGATGGATGTGAGTGCTGAGGCCGTGGGTGAGGCCAGGGGAGATCTGCCAGCAGGTCCCTCTCCTCCCCCAATTTGCATTTTAATGGCTTGAAAAGATGAAAAGCCCTGAGCTCCATTACTGCCAGATCCATCCTATTTCCCAGAGTAGGGGGAGAGGCCTCTGGTCCCGAGGGAGATGTTTTATTGAAATAAACCCTCAGGAATGAATTTTCTGGGGATGTGAGTTAATGTGATGAATTTTGAGGCTCCTGTTAGTGATTTCCTGGCATCTTCAGTGTAATTCAGATAGGGGTGTCCATAGCTCATCACAGTACTTTGCATTCACACAGCAAATTACAGGGGCTGCCAGCTTTAAAAATTAACCCTTCATATAGTTAAGCTTACCAAAAAAAGTCACTGGGAAATTTTTTCCAAACTGTTTATTCATTCATTCCATGAATATGTAAGGACAGACTACTGTGTACCAGGCATTGTTCTAGGCCCTGGAGATACAGTGGTGAGCAAACTATATTGTCCCTACAAACAAGCAGTAGAATCCTGGGATCTTGAAAACGTGACCCCTTTGTACATTGTGCACCTGCGTACATGTTACACTGAATTTGACTGATAACATATCATTTTGCACTGCTTTAAGCATTTTACTCTTCCTGGAGTTGATCATATTATTATAAGGCTCTTCTCTACCCAGAAAAGTCAGCTTAAAGTCAACTAAAACATATATAAAATATGTGAAAATATATGATCTATATGAAATAGATAAGAATATAATTAGCATAGGTCAACAATAGAGCCAAAGTCTATAGAAATAGTAGTGATGGAGGGATACAGCAGAATAGGCACCTGTTTGTGAGTTGGGGTCTTGGGTTCTGCCACCCACTAGTGATGGGGTCTGGGGAAACTCCCTCTGATCTCTGTGTTAAATCCCTCCATCGTCTGAGAATACTCATCTTGCCCTGCCCACCTCAGAGAGTTATAGGCTAACCAAATGGAGAAGGATGTTATAGAAATTACAAAATGTATAGATGTAAGGACGTTCAGTTTTGACCTGGCTGTGGGTGTTGGAGTATCATTCAGAATACATTAAGTAAAACTACATGTGCTTAGTCCATATGCCAGAAACATGCATTTTGGGGAATATTTCATTTGCTTTTTTTTTAATTTTTAAAAGACTTAAAAGATAGCCACATTTGTTACTATATGTCTGACATTCTGCTGAATCCTTAATTTTTGTCTTTCTTTCTCTGCGCGCGCGCGTGTGTGTGTGTTTTAATTGGTCTTGTTTCGTCCTTGAATAAATGTAAGTCTCTGAAGCAGACAAGGATGAAGGATGGTCCACACTCTTAAAAAAAGTTTTTTAACAGAAGAGCTATTTAAGATTTAGGAAAATAGGGGCACCTGGGTGGCTCAGTCAGTTCCGTGTCCAACTCTTGGTTTTGGCTCAGGTCTTGATCTCAGGGTCGTGAGATCAAGCCGTGCATCGGGCTCTGCACTTAGCATGGAGTCTGCTTGAGATTCTCTCTCTCCTTCTCCCTCTGCCCTTCCCACTCATGCTCTCTCTCTCTCTCTTTTTAAAATAAATAAATAAATCTTTAAAAAAAAGACAGGAAAATAATACCACGTATTCAAATTCACTGATCAGAAGGGTGGTAAAGCTTGGATCTAAGATTATATGATATGACTCTTACTGCTGAGAAAGAAACTGGGGGAAGAGTGAGAGGCAGGGGTATGAAGGAGCAAACCAGGGCTGCAGCAGGAGGGCAGGTATTAGCTCTCAGATGACCCACACGCCAGTTTTTGGTATGATCCCTGCCTTGGCGTGGCTTCCCATGTCAACCTTTTTATGCCTTATATGTGATCTAGGCTGGCTCTAGTATTTTAGAGTTGGTAAAACTTGATAGGATTTTTCTGACCTCCTACCTAGTGTAGGAATCCCTTCCCTGAAAACTTCTGAGAGTGTGTCCTCAGGTTCCCTGACTTCAGGCTTAATTAGACACATCCTTTTCTACTGTTGGACAGCTCCCATGTTTTGTTTTATTAAGCTAATTTCTTAGAGTAAGCTTAAACCTATTTTATGAAAGTTTAAGAATTCTGATCCAAATTTGGATAAGGCCTGTGGTGCAGGACTGCTGCAAAATTTTATGAGATTAAAAAATGTAAAACACATAGGATAGTTTCTGGCCTATTGTCAAGAATCAAAGAAAGCAGACAGGACTATAGCAGGGATAAATGTCATGAGCCACGCTTAGGTTAAAGTATAGTATATATTGGTTATGTTCCATTTTCTAGGTTTTTTAAAATCAGTTTCTCAATAGTTAATCTTCTCTCAACTTAGACTGGCTCTAACTCACGTTTATTTAGAAGACACATATAACAAGACTGCATTAACCTGGAGAGATTGTATTTTACATCTCTTAATGAAATGCATGATGCCTTTCTTTTGTGCTATGTGGTGAGAGCTTTCTTACTTATAAAATCACACATACACACACATCTTCATGTTTTAATCATCACAAAAAGGTACAGCATGTATTTTATTTCCTTTTTTTTTCTGACATGGTAGTTTGAAATAAAATTTGCCCAAATTCATACAGTTAGCTAGTGACAGAATAAAAACTAAAGCACAAAACTCTTTTTTTTAAAAAAATTTTATTTATTTATTTGAGAGAGAGAGAATGAGAGCACGAGAGGGAAGAGGGTCAGAGGGAGAAACAAGACTCCCTGCCGAGGAGGGAGCCCGATGTGGGACTCGATCCCGGGACTCCAGGATCATGACCTGAGCCGAAGGCAGTCGCTTAACCAACTGAGCCACCCAGGCGCCCTAAAGCACAAAACTCTTAATACACTAGAAATAGAAGGGAACCTCTAACAAAAGATGTCTACAACAGACATGCAATTAACATCATATTTAATGATGAGATACTGAATACTTTCCGTATAAGAGGAGGAAGAAGGAAGAGATGTTTATTTAGCCTCACCACACATATTCAACATCATGCTGAAAGTCCTAGCCTGAGCAATAAAGGAAGAAAAATGAAATGCAAATGCACTTCATACAGATTGCAAAGGAAAAATTAAAACTATTATTATCCTCATTGACACAATTGTGTATGTAGAATATCCCAAGAAATCTACAAAAATAAAAAACTCCTAGAACCAATAAGTAGGTTGAGCAAAGTTGCAGGAGACAACAAATTCAGTGGAGAAAGGATGTAATTTTTAACAAATGGTATTGAAAAAAATTGGGCAGCCATATGGGAGAAAAGTGAACTTCAGCCTATGATTCGCAACTTAAACAAATTTAACTCTAAAATGGATATTTCTAAATGTTAAATATAAAATTATAAAACATATAGGAAAAAACATGGAAGAAAATCTCCACAACTGTGGGTTGGCATCAAGAGCAAGATTGACAAAATAAAGAATTGATAAATAGACTTCATCAAAATTAAAAAACATTTGCTCTGCTGAAGGTACAATGAAGACACTAGGAGAAAATATTTGCAGATTACACATTTAACAAGGGACTTGTGGTCAGAACATAGAAGGGACTTTCAAGACATAGCAATAAGAAACAATGCAATTTTTTAAAAATAGGCAAAAGTTTGAACAGACCACTTACCAGAGAAGATCTAAGAATGACAAATAGGCAGATGACATGATGCTCAACATCATTAGACATTAGGGAAATGCAGATTAAAACCATAATGAGATATCATTACATAAATACCTATTGGAATTGCTAAAATAACAAAACTGGTAATACCAAGTGCTGACAAGGATTGAAAACTATTGGAACTCTCATATATTACTGGTGGGGATACTAAATATTACAGTCACTCTGGAAAAATATTTGGCAATTTCTTATAAAGTTACACACACCTTATGATTCAGCAATCTCACTCCCGCATATTTATCCTAGAGAAATGTTATAATCACACAAAAACCTGTACACAAATGTCTGTAGCAGACTTAATAATCACCCAAAACTGGAAACAGCCTAAATATCCTTAAATATCCTTGAATGGATGGATGGATAAGTGAGCTGTCATACATCTGTAAAAGAAAATAGATGAATTTCAGAGGCATTATACTGGGTAAAATAAGACAATCTCAAAAGGTTACACACTGTATGATTCCATTTATATGATCATATGGAAAAGGCAAAACTGTAATGATGCAGAAATAGATCAGTGGTTTCCAGGGTGGGGGAAGTATTTCCCAAGAAAGAAGCATGAGGGAATTTTTCAGGGTGATACAAATATTTGGCAACCTGACTGTGGTGGTGGTCACATAAATCCATATGTCTGTTAAAACTTTAGAACTGTATGCCAAAAAAATTACTGTGTAGAAATTGAAAGAAATTTGTATTTAAAAAAATACTAAAATAAATATGTAAGGAAAAAAGGGAGGGCGCCTGGCCGGCTTAGTTGGAAGAGCATGCCATTTTTTGATCTCGGGGTCATGAGTTTGAGCCCCACATTGGATATTGAGGTTACTTAAATAAATATTTAAAATTAATACTAATATAACCTATATTGAGGAAAAACTAGAGAACACAGTTCTTGGCTTCTAGTTTTATAGAACTTCCTACCTTTTCTGATTAATTAATTAATCAGTTTCTTGATCCACTTATTTCTTCTTTTATTCAGTGTTTATTTAAAATCTGTCTAATCTGGTCACTGAGGGGACATAGAGGTGAATGTGATACTATCTTCACCTCAGGGGGCTTGTAGACTGGCTAGGGAAACATTAAGGATTTGAGTAGTTCTAGCACAAGCTGACAGGAATATTCATAGAGTTGGACATATGTTGAGTTACAAATGGGAGTATGGCTAATAGTCTAAGAAAGTTGGGGGAAACTTCTTAAAAAGACAAAGTGTTTGATCTGGCACTTTAGAGATTAGTAGGAATTTATCAGAACATTCTGGATAGAGCAGAGAGCCTCGCATGTGCCCAGAGTTCACCCATGAAGAGTGGTGTGTGCAAGGCTGTGGATTATGGTCTGTG